GGGGGGGGGGGGAGAGATCCGAGTGGTGGGCACTGGTCTGGAATTGGTGCATAAGTGGTATGAGGGGTCTTCGTCGTTGTTTCGTGCGGACTTTTTAAGAGCCGGCGAAGTCAGAAATTTTCCTCGTAAAATCACCGCGAAAACTTTTTTCCAGCAGCAGCATCGCGATATCTGAAAGATTTGCGGTGTGCTGCGTAAGGTGTGAAATTGGTACTAGTCTTTAATATCTGCTGGCGGATATGGTGCACTGATAAATAAAGTGGCTGTTGCACAAAAGGTCGAGGATCCGTCTCCATCACGAGGAAAAAAGTGAACCCCTCTACAATTCGCTCAGTGTCGTTTCGATGGTAAATTGGTGCCGGTACATGCCAAGTGGTCCGAGTCGTTGCTTCTCTCGCTGACCACTGCTGGCCAATAGGCCACTTCCAGCCGTTAGACCGGAGACCCCCCTACATCCGTGATAAGCAACCAAGCTCGTATTGCTGGGCAGTTTTGCTATAGCGTACCGCATCTTCCTTTCAGATATGTAATAGAATATAATGGGAGGACCGTAGAAGCCCAAATCAAAACAGGACGTTCCAGGCAGGATTGATTGGAAGGCCGAAATTATCAGGCGATATTTTGTGGCCGTTGGTAGGCCGGAGCGTACCTCCTCAAATAACGGACCGTAAAGAGCAAAGAAAGTCTAGCATAGCCGAATTCCATAAGTTTTAAGGCTGGAAGAGCGGGATTTGGCAGTAAATCTGAGAGGTATACGCGCCTGTAATGATTACAGTGTTACGACCTCAGAAACAGGAGACGCATGAAGCCGTAACTTGTGCCTTGGTCAGAAGGTTGTGTTCTGTAATGTTAGACTTAGCTGTGGGCTCGAACGTGTGTGGGTGTGTTTATGTGCTAGAACCGAGAATTGTGATGTTATTGTAATATCTAAGTACCATTGCAATATGGGACTATCGATAAGCGGGTAGCTGGCGATTGCACGTATTACCGCTCGGGCTGTTCTCCCAGGCTTTTCAAAAAGACCGGACTGTGCGAGGATAGGGAGGGAAGAGGGGAGGGGATATTTATCTCACGTATATACCGTCCCCTCGTGGATTTCTCAACAAATCGTCCTGGTTTTTGTTGTGTATGGGATTGTCGATCCAGCTTCGTTACATTTTCTGTGCTGTTTAGGAGGCGGGGGAGGGCGAGGCGAGGAAGGGCCCCAGCTTAAAAATGCGGTATTTCCAGGGCAGTGAGAAGACTGCGGTCGTTAGATTAATGAATTTTGAATTAATAAGTTTTTCTTAGATTTGAGTTAATGAATTTCTTGCATAAATTGATCATCTAACTTTTTTCTGTTTCAGATTTCGTGTACTTTTATAAACATGGATGCTTCGTGCCGACATACAAGCATAAGCCCTTTGAGTCTTTCGCGGTTGTGCCTTGGTGGCGAAATTGTTCAGCTTCCTACAGTTCTCGTTGAACAGGTCTGTTCTGTTTTCACAACTTTTCAAATTTTTCCTCATATAAAATCTGTTTTTGTCTCATTAATTTGTGTATGCTTTATTCAGGAATCAATGTTTCGCGCGGTAATAACAAAGGATGCATATCGAAGCCTGAGCATCGAGGCGCAGAATTACCTCAAGGTGATATCTTTGAACTGAGTTACATAAATATTTGGCCTGAAACACATTTACGAAACTAAACTTCCTCCGTTGGTAGACGCCCATATACAGCTCAGAAGAGCACGGGATGGGGACAGGATAGAGGATGGGAGCGAGGATGCTCTTCAAGAGTTCGAGTATTCTATTTTTATGAGGAACAGAGGCAGCTGAAATTGACACAGAGGCAGCACTTTTCCAGTACGAACGA